AAAAAAAAAAAAGTTTTCACCTTGTCCTCAAGGTGAAAATCAGGAAAAGCTGTGAAGTGTGGGATTCTAGTGTAAGGTTTACAAGGCTCTCCAGTTGCAGCAGTTACCTTTTGAGGTATAATTCCCCGGGTTCTTATCAATTGGTATCAAAGTTTTCACTGTGTCTCGGGTCGGCTATAAATGAGAGGCACAGGTGGTTATTCCGACATTGGAATGTCCAACTGAAACTAGTCAAAAAGGGCAAGTCCACAACCAGACTGTGTGGGAACTTGGCATAGTGAGATATTAGGATCCAAGTGCAAGGCATAAAACTTGATTCCCTCATCGGAAGTATGGATGTGTGGTTTATAAGGCCTTGTTCTCTCCAACTAAAAATGGATAGCTTTTGTGATGTGGTTCTCCCAAGGATCTTATCAAAGCTTTATTTGACAAAATTGAATTCTAAATTAACTTCACTATTCAATTGTTAACTAATAATTGGTCTGAATCTCTATGCGCATCTTACGATAAAAAATCTCACCTCTTGATAGCTCTACCTTCTCATAGACTTAATAATAGAGGGGGCAGATGGATGAATTCAATATATTTTGTTTAGGATTAAAACAGAAGGATTTAAAAAATCGATTTATATCCATTAAAATCTTATTTAAAAAATTCCATACATCCATGATCCATTTAATAAAACCCATCTAATTCATCCATTAACAATTTTTTATGGATGAATGATCTTTCTTAACAAACCAAATCATGAAACCCGAAAAACAAACCAAACACATTCAAATTAACCAATCTTAAAACATTTTAAGACACAAGCAGTAAATCATTTATGGCATAATTTTAAATAAACCTGAAGAGGAGTTCCTGTCAAAAGCACACGATGTTTGCTGGAATATTGCTGCAATGAAGAAAACAATTTAGAATCCTTGTTTTTAAGACGATGACCTTCATCTACTATCTGCACGTAGATATAGATGTCCAGTTGTCAGCATTATGCACAAAAGCAAAAATGAGAATGAAATTAGGTAGTAAGCAATAGAGGCATGCGGCAATTTTATTTTTATGGTTCAAGTACTTAATTGATGAGTAGAAGTTTACCATGCACTCCCACTTTATAGGTTTCAATGATGATGTATCAGAATTTATCATCTCATATGATGTCAAAAGTACATCAAACTTTATTCTTTCTTGTTTGCTTTCGTCAACTATCTGTCTAGATTTCTTGTTCTTGATCCTCTTTTGATTCTTTGGAAAGTAAAACTCGTGCTCTCTAATAAAAGCACGACCTTTGGCAGATCCAAAATACATAACCTACAAAAACCAACATCCAGCTAGAAGAGTAAATACATAAAAGGAAATACAACTAAGGAATCCTATATACATACAACATTCATTTGAGGTGCCCAAGTTGCAAATTCCCGTTCCCAGTTTCGCAATGTTGAAAGTGGAGCAACCACCAGATGTGGAGAAACATTCTCTTCAAAAAGGGATGCAAGGAAAGCAATACTCTGAATGGTTTTTCCTGAAGGAAAAAAACTCAGCCACTAAGGTAACACTACTTCTTGAAACTCCAAATTAAGAAGGGACGGGAAACGATATTAGAGATGGGAATAGAAAGAGAAACAGAGACTAAGTACCAAGTCCCATTTCATCAGCAAGTATAACATGAGTTTGTTTGGACCAAGAGAATCTTAAGAAGTTCAATCCTTCAAGTTGATATGAATGCAGTGTACCTTCATATATATGAATATGAAATCAGGTGATCACAAGATCATCCAAATATGATAAAATTAATATGAAGCATAACTTTTCGGAAGAATAGATCAGTCAAAATACATACCCCCTGTAAGAAATTGAGGGCTATGTTCATACTGTTGAAATTCTTTCTTCTGCGTATTCAATTTAGCACCATCCTTAACACTTCCTTTTTTCTTGCTAGAGAAAATTTTCCTTGATCTAGACTGAAATGTATTGTATCTTTCTATTTCTGTTTGAAATGCAGAGACATCTGTCTCAAGCTCCCAGTAGCATTCATCGTATGGAAGCTCTTTCCACTTCACAAGATATTCCTTCTTATCTTCGTGACCCCTGTACCATTTAAGCAAAACATATTACATGAATTTGTCAACTTTTTCAGAGAAAAAATAGCATAAAATAATTCTGAAAACTTTCACAGCCATTATAGTTCAGTTCATTGTCACCATTTTCTCACGAGTCAATGACAAACATATGATGATGATAGCATTACAGAAAGGAGGAAGACTAAATTATGATTCATCAAAACATAAGAGGTGGAAGACTAGAGGAAAAACTTGGTACGGAAATAATGACAAGGAAACAAAACCTTCTGCATGGAAATCTTAACCACGACTCATAACAAGACCTAAAACTATCCATCCCCTAGCAGCAGTTTTCTAGTAATCAGCATCGCAAGCTCACTTCTTATGTCAACAATCAGTGAACAAAAAGTCAAGAACTATAGTTTGAACCAAACCAAACAACCACACTCCAGCAAGTACTCCTGTAACAGTCTGGAATGAATAAATTTTAACTCGATCTAATGTTCAAAATATGCCAATAATTAGGAACATAATCATCTCATAATCCTTTTCAAATGAGGGAGGTGGAAAATAATGTTTCTTATAGATGAACCTGCATGCAAGTATTCGATCAACCGTAGTCCATTCAGGCCGAATGGCTACAAAATCTTCATTAGGTATATCGGCTGAGGTCATATTACGATGGAAATTGTTTACTTTGGCCTTTAGACCTGGATGATCCTTGAAAGCTTTCAGAAACTCTTCCTCAGGCACCCTAAAACAGAAATTGTAGCTGGTAAACAGATAAGATAATAACGACAGTGATAAATAAATTCAGAGCAAATAAAAGCCTAACATACCATTTTTGAAAGAGAAAATTAAAAACATAATATTCTTAAAAACATAATATTCAAAACTAACAATTGTCGTGATACAATAAAAGATGGAGCAAAAGTCAATCTGGAATAGAAAGTTATGTATAATTCACAAGACACCATTGGAAGCTGGAGCATTACAAAAATAATAGATGACTTTCAATAAATATACCATGTGCAGTGCAAATATGATAGTCCCTTCCACTTAACAAGATATTGTTTGACAAAATTTTGCTTTGAATCCAATTTTGTGGCATCACTTTCACCAGCTACGGTGGATCGCATCTCACAGTCTAATATCTTATCAATATCATTCAGTGGGCTAACCTGCAAAAAAAAAAAAAAAAAAAAAAAAAGAGAGATATTATAAGTATAATCATAAACTTAAAGGCGTCACTCAAGCAGAATATATGTTAAAAGTATTAAAAACTTACACACTCAGGGCACCTCCAATTGTCTCGAAAGGGGCTCTTAAGTGGTGAGAGTATACAGCTCGGATGGAAAGAATAGGTGCATGTTTCACAGCTCAGAAGATTTCCACTTTCTCCACAAGCTTGACATGAATTGTCTTTCTATTATAGGGAAGAAATACAAACATCAAAACAAGAGATGAAAAAGAAAACAAGTTGAAATATTTACTTATTTCAAGCTACAATATCAAATAAGCTCATATGAATTTGATAACTAAAGCCAGATAGCATGCTATAATACCAAAGCTGCAAACACAATTTAGGAAAAATAAGTATGACAAAGAAAAAAGCAAGACTTAAATTAAATGATAATTGTTAACACAAAAAGGGAATAAACTCAATAAAGTAACTTACTGTTTCACTTCTAACAATTTTCTCAATTTTTTCTTGAGGCTTCTTACGTTTTCTAGGCAAAACATCTGAATCATCATCTGACTCATCAATAGTATAAAGTGGTCTGTGTTTTGATCTTGCTCGAAGCCCAAATGAGCTGCTCATTTTCTGCAAAAAAGAAAGAATTATCGCATAAGCAAGAAGAAATAACACCATATAAATTCTAAATATCAACCAAAACTGTCCATCGAACTTCTTCCAAGAAAAAAAAAATATCATGGTGAACACGGGTACAAGCCTAGAAAGTTAACTATCATATAAGCTTATAATCTGAAACAAAGGGATCAAAATCACAGAGACACAAGTCCAGTGATAAAATAATTACCCTGTAGTATTTTTTTTCTCACAAAAAAAAAAACTTAAATAGATAAACCAAATGCAACATTTATAAACTGAATAAATAAATATGCTTGAGTCCTTGGCACTCCCTAAATGAGTCCTAGGAATGACAGTAATGCCAGTGACAGATTTTGAGAGGAATGACCAAAGTTTACAGAAATAAAATTGTACAGTTCTTGGACAAGAAAAATGTGGTTAAAGAATAAGTTCAATCTAGTGAAAACCCAGATTCAAAATTTATGTTTTAATGTATTGCTTTACAATGATTCATTGAGGTGTAGAATAATTGTGCATGAATCTTCAGAAATCTCCCAAGACACCAAAATGACAAACAAGAACTCACTTTGCTGTTAATTCCTAGAATTCCAAATCAAACATTGTTTTTAAAACATAAAATTTGCATTTTTACACCAACTTTGGTCTCATTCATACCTATATTGTATGCATTTTTATAAATAGATATGCAAATCATATGGCTGAGATCAAGCAAGAAGAACAAGGGGGAAATATAAAGAAGCACTAAGTGAATTTAAGCCAACCTGGTGAGAAAGTGGAGAAAAGGTAGAGAATTTCAAGGGATGGAAAAATGATGAATGACAATATTTTGCTGATTTAAATTGTAACATTTGGAATTATTATAATTTAAATTTACCACTAATTTTTATTTATATATATATTATATATATACCTATTATTTTAAATACTTTATTTAATATAACTTTCCACACCCAATACTAGACTTTAAGTTCCCTCGGCAACACATCATATCTTACCAAATAGCTACTTGAACCCGTATCTTTGCAAAAATCTTGAGTAATAATCATTTTGCTGAAAAAATTACTAGCAAGTTTTCCAGCTTTCCAAAATCATCTCCAAATAGAGTTCTGAAATTATTCCATTTCCCTTCAAAAATAAGATTATAATCCATTTCTTCTCAATAATGCGAGTGAATATGGAGGAAAACTATAATGATAGGTCTTTAGGATATCCAATCAAATAAACAGCATAGAAGCAGACATATAATTAATTCAACAATTTCATATCATATCTAGGTCAATAATCAGGGTCAGTCCATGAATGGGGAGTTTCTAAACTTCCTAACAGGGAAAATAAGCTCTTCATTCTCGTAAAATAAACAATGTGAGAATGCCTAAGAGGAAATACGCAAATAAGTGGACTAAAAAGTCAACCATGAAAACAAACACACATTACCAATTACACACAAGAGATAAATACACAATTAGATACGCATGCTACGGCATACTCTTCACAAAGTAAACAACAAATCAACACTTGAACTTCTTCGTTTCAATTTCAAATAAATCCTAGCAACAAAAAACTTAAAACAAAACAGTAAATACACAATTGGAGATGTATATACAGCATCCTCTACATAATCGTAAACAACAAAGCATTACAAAAACTTCTCCATTGTAATTCCAGATAAAACCTAGCAACAAAACAGTTTACGCAAACAACGGTACACCACCACGTGCATTCATACAATCACAGAAAATCAAATAAAACAGTTACAAAACAGTACTAAAAACTACTCAAAGCAAACAAAATCCCCTTAGACCACGCAAAACGCAAGGATCCATATAAAACGACGAAATAACTAAGCAGAAAAGTAAAAATGACGCATCCATAACACCATCACGGTGCCGATTGGAGGAATCTTGGCGAACAAGCATTATATCCGAAGCACGCTACTTCGAGCTACTTCGAGATTCCAGTTTCGCCGAAGCAAACGAGAAAGAAACCCTAGAACGTAATCAGAACGCATGCATAGCTTTCGATATGGCGTTTTCATAAAGACAGAAAAGTTTATATAGCGGCAACAGCAGTGTTGTTGAAAGCAACAAAAAGAAACTAAGCGGATTTGAGAGAGAAAAGAAGGAAATGTACCGAGAGCAAGAATGATGCGATGAGAAAGTGCGGGAGCTTCAGATTTGAAAATGGTTCGGAAAGAGAGATGGCAAGAAGCAAAGCAAGTCTACTATGGTCGCTGAGGAGCAGAAATTTAGTAGTAGAACAGTGAAAATATTAAACAGCTGCGGAAATGATGTGACGGCCCAAACAACTATTTAGCTCTAATATATATATATATGCTTCATAAAAATTATATTATGTTATTTTTTAGTGAATTCTTAAGGAAAATAATATGAGTCAGCCCTATTTTTAAGTACTAACCGTCAATTTTTCGAATTTTAAAATAAAATAATATTATTTTAAATAGTTATCATGAAATTTTCGTGTGACTGAGACATATTTATCATCAGAAACCAGCGTACATACACGTTTAACTTTTTTATTGGTCCACGCTAGTCTATGGAAAAGTTTTGAAAAAATTAATGTATTTTTTACCATTTTCTTTTTAAATCATTTTAATTAAATATACATTTAATTTTTAAAGAGATAAATTTTCATATTATATTGAAAGTTGAACATATGCATTATTATTATTATTATTATTATTATTATTATTATTATACTTGAAATATCATTTAGAACAAGAACATCTGTAGTCAAATAAAAATACATAAAACAAGAAAATGAAGGTAGAAAACGTATTTTATTACCAGCAAGTTTTCACGGGGCTTGTTTAATTAAGTCTCGCAAATTATTTATCATTAAAAGATTTATTTTTTGATTAATACAACATGTTTAAATATAAGTTTAAGAATATTTTTAAGAATTTTAATACCAAAAATATTATTTATTTTGAGTAATAAAATCATAAAAAGTACTTGTAACTTATATCTAAAAAACTTTTCATCAAAATTTATATTGAAGTTGAGTTTCAAACAGGTTCAATCTGTACCATCAAATTGAGCTACAACTATTTTTATTGAGTTGCTAATGGGATAATGTTGTATTTCCTGTTATATAAAATGTTCACTGCCAAAAAGTTAAATTGTATAACGAAAAGGAAAATTATATATGACTAGTCAAATACTCATTGAACTTTCATAATTTTCAAGTCTTGAAACAGATTTCATCACGTCTTCAGCTCTAGATTTTAGTTAAGATGTTTTTGTAACTTAATAATTTAGCCAGTAACCTCGATCTAGAATTCTTCAAAGACATAAATTTAGAAATTAATGAGTATCAAAGAAGTACGTCCCAACAATTTCCTACATAAGTAAAATAAAGCTATATATATATATATCAATCAAGGCCATATATACACAGTTCCGAAAAAAATATCTAATGGGTTGTTATCTATGAAAATAAATCAATAGCTCGTAATTATTTCATTCTATTTCTTAGAAATGCATATATAGACTCTTCATGTTCATCTTTTAACTCTTATTGACTGAAAATCCAGTCTCAATCTTTAGTAAGATTTGAGTGAACAGCAATAATTAAAGTATAAAATTATAATTAATTGATACATAATTGGTTGTTGCATTTGATTCAATAAACATGACTGTAGTGCATATATAGTATAATGATTAATTATTTAATATAATTTTGAAAATCATGATAATTATTTTGATTTAAAAATAATAATAAATATTAAAAAAGCCAATAAAAAAGGGAGTAAGTACAAGATTATTTTTTAAAAGTAACAAAATACTAATAATATATATTAATGATGTATTATGAAAAATGTGCGCATGTATCAATATATTCTCAAATGATAATAACAAAATTAATCCTTTTAAGAAATAAATTTAAAATGAATTTTATTTTCAAAATTTTTTTATACAGAAAGTAAAAGTTAAATTACCGTGATATATATATATATA